CTCAGCCCTTGACCCCTCACCTTTGCCCCATGGCTCCTAAACTGACCTTTGACCTCCCCGAGGCCTCGGCCATGACCCCAGCCCCTCACAGCAATGGCGTCCTCCTTCCAAGGGGTATAACCCCCCTCAAAAACCCCTTTCCCTCCCACAGCCGAAGGATCCCTCAAGATGGAGCCGCGCTCCCCTCAAAGCACAGCCCGAGCGGTGGCGACAAAGCCTTCGGCCTAAGGAGAAGGGCGGCTTTTTCCTCAGGTTTTGCCCCAAAAAACAGATTAAAGTGGCTTAAAAGCGATGGGCGGCAGCGGGAAATGGGTGAGGAAAGGATTTTTGTACCCCAAAATCAGCCTTAACCACGGTGTTGGGTTTCCTCAGTTCCACATCCTTTTCCAGACCCATTTTTCGTGTCTTTTATTACCAGAACCGAAGTGCAAACGGCTGAAGGACGCGCTCTTATTTCCAATTCTGACAGAAATCCCTATAAAATGACATAAAGGATGGAGGATTGTGGCATCTCGCCTCAGCCTGCCATAAATTTTATTTTATTGCAAGGAAGAGAGGGATCCTTCAACTCCAGCAAGGTGCGATCAACACAGCTGCACCCCCAAAATATCCCCATTTTGCAGCTCACCCACACATGTTGCTCCTCAAGAGATTTTTTTTTTCCTTCCCCCCCCCCTTTTTTTTTTTATTTTAACCCAAGAAATTCCAGTTTTGAGGTTCATGAGGAACAACCTCCTTTTGTTCACGCCACCGCTGCGTGATTTCATTCAATGTGCCCATTTCGCGGCCGCAACGCCTAAAAAATACGATGGAGGAGACGGAGCAGGAGCAGAAACGGTGGGAGGTAGTTTGAGGGAAGACAATAAAAGCACCAAGAGCAGAGGGAGGGTATTCCAGCCCTCTCAGATGCCAGAATGGCAGAGATTTTTCCCCAATTCTGTTTTGTTTTGGAGGTTTTTTGGGTTTTTTTTGTTTTTTTAACAGAATTACAAAAAATCCTGGGGAATACAGAGCACCTATGAAGAGAATCCCAGTGATTTTAGACAGAAGGGCTGGACAACCCCCTGAGCTGCTGCTGTGGGATCATCTGTGGAACGCAGAAGGTGGATTGGTAACACCCAAAGGAAATCTTTACCCTCTAAATCTGGAAATTATCAGCCACAGCAGCACAGCAGACACACAGCAGCCAGGTATTAGAGCTGAGAGAAATTGATTTTGTGATTCTAGAAGGAAAGCGGGAGGATTGAAGACCTGTGCTTAATAACAAGTGGCCCTTTCAGCACGTTGAGGGGAGGTTCTCAGAATCCTACATGTAATAAAGTCTCATTTCTGTGTTTCTCATCTAAAACAATTCAAATAAATGAACGTGAAGCTGTTGGAAACTTCACGATCAGAGTAAGGAGTTAAATGGGTGCTGCCGTGCTGCGTTATCAGTATGTTTCTATAGGTAACACCACTGAAACAAGTTCTACGAGCCGGCCTTAATCGCTGATGGCTGATCAATATCCCAGAAAAGAAACAAAACTCCTCCCTGCAAGATGTTCCCCACAGCATCAGAGATCTCCGAAGGAAGCAGAGCTGTGACACTGGGCACAACCTCAAGAAACGCTGCGGGGAGATGGGGCTCTCTG